GGTTCGAGTCTTACGCGATACGGGATGCAACACGGCAATCGTCCGACGGGAGCTCGTTCCTGATGTGTGCCTGACAGGCAAGAAAATCAGTGTCGTTCTCCTAGACAGGTCAACTAGCCATCTCCCGGAAGCTATTGTACAAGTCAACACGCCGTACTTCACAGGGATGCTGAAAGTGGCTTGTATGGATCAACCCCTCTATGACCTTGTGCTGGGAAATCTTCCAGGCGTCAGAGGACCATACGATCCAGATTCTGACTGGAAGCAGGCGACTCATACCCAGGTGGATGAGTTACCTGCGCAAGCACACCCGACCAAGTCACCTGTCACCTCAAGATCTGCTTCTTCAAGCGTGGCAAAAACCAAAGCCAATCAACAAGGTCAAGAAAATATCAGGCCTTTGTACGTGTCAACAACGCTCTTACCTGATGTTACCAGAGCCCAACTCGTCGAGGAACAGCGAAATGACCCGACACTCAAAGCTGTCTTTGCTAAAGTGAATAAAGAGTTCAAATCGGGAAAGGGCCACTGTTACGATTTCATCGAAGATAAAGGATTGCTTTATCGACGCTACTGCCTTGCCACTGGCAGGACGTTTAAACAGCTGGTCACTCCGAAAGCGTTCCGGGTAGGCATACTGGACATTGCTCATGGCAGTATCATGGCGGGACACCAAGGCATCAAAAGAACTACTGATCGTGTCCTAGAAGAATTTTATTGGCCTGACCTGAACGGAGACGTAAAGCGCTTTGTCAAGTCTTGCGACAAGTGCCAGAGAACTACCCCTAAAGGAAAAGTTGGAGTCGCACCACTAGACAACATGCCTCTTATCCGGACACCTTTTGAAAGGGTCGCGGTTGATTTAATCGGCCCATTTTCACCAAGATCGGACCGTGGGAACCGATATGTTCTGACACTTATCGATTTTGCGACTCGCTACCCTGACGCTGTAGCATTGCCCGCAATCGATGCAGTTCACATTGCGGAAGCACTCATCGAGATTTTTTCCCGCATCGGCTTGCCAAAGGAAATCGTCACCGACCAAGGGGCAAGTTTTACCTCAGAATTAATGAACGAGGTTAGCAGGCTTCTCTCCGTGAAGATGCTAAAGACAACCCCATATCATGCGATGGCGAACGGTCTCGTGGAGAAATTTAATGGCACCCTGAAGACAATGCTAAAGAGAATGTGCCAAGAGAGACCTCGATCTTGGGACAGGTACCTAGCTCCGCTACTCTTTGCATATAGGGAAGTTCCACAGACAAGCCTCGGGTTCTCTCCGTTTCAGCTCATTTACGGCCGCCACGTCCGAGGACCGCTAACCGTGCTGAGAGAACTGTGGACAAATGAGGGGCTAGACGCAGAAACGCGGACGACTTACACCTACGTCTTTGATTTGCGCAATCGCCTAGAGGAGACTTGCAAGATAGCCCATGAACAGCTGGAGAAGGCTCGTGTGAAGCAGAAAACCTATTATGACAGGAAAAGTCGCCCTAGAAAATTATGCCCAGGCGACAAGGTTTTAATTCTGCTCCCGACTGACTCCAACAAGCTGTTAATGCAGTGGAAAGGGCCGTTCCAAGTCATCGAACGGAAAAATGATGTCGACTACGTCATCGATGTGTTTGGGAAAAACAAGATTTTTCATATCAACATGCTCAAAAAATACGAAGAGCGCGAAGTGACGGAACCACAACAGGTGTCAGTTGTTGCAGAGCTCCACGAAAATCTCCCCGAAGAAGAAGAAGAAGTCAAACAAATGCCCATATTGAGCTTGTATCGCACGCAGTTCAGCACGGATGTCAAGCTATCACCACACCTCACTGCTGAACAAGTTCAGAATGTGCAAGCACTTTTTCAAGAGTATGCGGACATTTTTTCTGACTTACCAGGGAAAACAGCACTCGTGGAGTGTTCGCTACGTCTGACCTCCAATAAGCCTGTGCATGTTCCGCAGTACCCCATCCCCCTTGCCTTGCAAGAAAGAGTAGAAAAGGAAGTGCAAGAGATGCTGAAACTCGGTATTATTGAGCGGTCTCAGTCGCCGTACCACGCTCCCATTGTCGTGATGAAGAAACCGGACAACACGATTAGGTTGTGCATAGACTTCAGAGAATTGAACAAGATTCTGGTCCCCGACTGCGAGCCAATACCACGCATCGATGTAGTTCTTGCACTTGTTGGACAAAAGCAGTTTTTCTCCAAATTTGATTTCACGAAAGGATACTGGCAAGTACCGATGGATCCAAACAGTCGTGAAAAAACTGCTTTCTCCAGCATGTCTGGGCTCTATCACTTCCTCTACATGCCTTTTGGCATTAAAACGGCGCCAGCAGTATTCGCGCGCCTTATGAGATCAGTACTGGGTGGCGTTGACAACGTTCACCATTATTTCGACGATGTCATCATTGCGACCGATACTTGGCAAGAGCACATCGACACCCTGAGACAAGTTTTTGAACGAATCAACCAAGCTCACCTCACCATAAAACCAAGTAAATGTGAGATAGGAGAGCGAAGCATATCCTTCTTGGGACATCGAATCGGGGAGACTACAGTTGAACCGCTTCTCAAAACGCTAGACAAGATTCTTGCCGCAAAACGACCTACAACCAAGAAAGCAGTGCAGTCGTTTCTTGGCTTGACCGGCTATTACAGGAAGTTTATACCTAACTACGCCGAACTGACCAAGCCGCTGACGGACCTTACAAGAAAGGGACAAAGCCACACTGTTTCATGGGGCGCACATCAAGAGGAAGCGTTTACGGCCCTCAAGAAGAAGCTCGGTGATGCTCCCATCCTCCTTGCTCCCGACCTCTCGAAGGAGTTCGTTCTTCGTACGGATGCCTCCAATACAAGCCTGGGCGCAGTATTGCTCCAGATGGGAAAGGGCCAGGTGCTGCATCCAGTTGCTTACGCAAGTCGTAATTTATTGCCCCGAGAAACCCACTATTCAACAATAGAACGGGAATGCCTTGCACTTGTTTGGGCAGTGCAAAAATTTCATATTTACCTCTATGGCAAACCTTTTGTCATTCAGTCAGACCACCAACCATTACAGTATTTAAATTCCGCCAAACACGTGAACAACAGAGTGTTGAGGTGGAGTCTCCTTATGCAGGAGTACTCATTCACAGTTCATTACATCAAAGGTTGTGACAATGTTGGAGCCGACTACTTGAGTCGCGCATAACTGCCGTTTAGGTAGCAACGCGGTTCTTAATACTACTAGCCCTCAGTCGTGAATAGTTGACTCCTAGTTGCGACATAGCAACCCTACTTGTACGGTAGTTTTCCAACCGAACTGTAAGCAGCCTTCTGTGAACATTCTGCTACTATGTACATGCGACCCATAAGACAATGCAGTGCAGTGCAGGGACCGTGCAGTGACCGTGCAGTGCAGTGACCATTCGTTCGCCCCGCGCCCTTGTAGTAGAATAGTTGCAAACAACTTTCTCGGAAAAGGGGGTGATGTCATAATATGTGCTGCGCGGACGCGAAACAGAAACTAAAAAAAAAACGACAATAGTGTGCCGTGCGGTGGCGAAGAGGATATGATGTGTGCGTGTATGTGCCGTGCGGTGCCTACGAGGAAGACGACAGCTCGTGAGGCGCGGGCTCGAGGGTGCGTGACCCGTGCCTTCGGCAGTGCGCGAGGTACGTCGTTCGAGGCAGGACTACCTCGTTGGGCGTCTGGCCCATAGGTACGACCCAGGCCACGTCGCGACACTCGTACTAGCCGAGTGGACAGCTCCGCCTCCGCTAGACGACCGGTCCAGGAGAGCTGGCGCCAGGTTCCTGAACCTGTCCTTGTCCCGCTGGTCGTGGAGAGCTGGCGCCGGGTGCCTGAACCTGCCCTTGCGCCGCTGTTCCAGGAGGGCTGGCGTGGGTTTCCGAGGCGGACTACAGGTGCTCAAGGGCACAACTCCCTGCCGCCGGAACACGTGAGTCGTCGGCTCCAGTTCGTCGACAGTGGCGCTGAGCCACTGGAGTTCGACGCGGCGACCCTGCGTCTCCCGACTTCGTCACTGCAGGTGACGACGCCGCCCAACATCGACTTCGCCACTGAATGTTGCCGACAGGGCATCAACGACGGCCCAGGCTACTACCCCGACGACCTGAACTGTAGGCCGAACGTTCTACTTATTCATTTAGTTTAGCCGCGTGTTTTTGTGTTAGGAACTTCGTAATGTGTGGGTTGTCCATGTGTGAAGGGTACAATAGAAGTTGGACGTGTGTTTGTGCACTGGCGTGCTGTCTGATTCTTTCTGGAGCGGTCCTGCCCCAATAACATCACACATATGATTATGAGAGATGCCGTTGTGGAGGGCTCCGGAAATTTTGACCACCTGGGGTTCTTTAACGTGCACACAAATCTGAGCACACTTTTACATGATGTTTCGTGTTAATGAAATGAGTACACGTTTCAATGCGAACTCAAGGAGAAAACTCTCCGTCCAAAACGTGAGGTGATCGTCGCCATAAGTAAGTAATTGAATAAAAGAAACCAACCTTTTGTCTTAGTGTCTCTTAACTAATGGCCTCCACAACCACCCATTTTGGTCGTTGCCAAACGAAAGACACCATTACACTTGCAGTCAGTACGAATAAGTTTCAAAAATTAATAATCAGGTATATTAACAGGCAGATCAAAGACACGATACTAGTCTAGACTTCCTCTAGAATGCTTGTGTACTTCACCTAAGTGAGTTTTCGTGTCTTTTTGTAGTTGCAGAGCTTCGGCAATGCTATGTTATCAGTCTCGCTCGGCTAATACTATGCACCCACGCTTTTCATACTGGTTGAGTTGAATTTCATGGTAGTGGAATAAAGATCCTCTTTCTGCACGTCATGGTATACAGCCTTCGTATTAAACAGCACGCATCGAAAAATTCCTACTTTGCAAAAACTCGATCCCCGACATGCTGAAATTCTAACTGCACACTGCGTCTCAATGCAACAATGCAAAGCGCTCTTTCTTTCCTTTTTTTTTCACCCAGGCCCCACAGTCGACTGGGGCGCCACGACAACTGAGCAGGCTGGCACGCAGATTCGGCTCGTCGAGGGCGTACCAGTCGCCGGCTTCTGCGAAGACTGGGCCGTTCGCGCCGCTCTGCGTCACGAGCCTCGCGACGACGAAGTGTACGTGGTGGCCTACCCGAAGTCCGGCACCACGTGGGTGCACTACCTGACGAGGCGGTTGCTGCATCAGGGACACGAGAGCCCTGCAGAGAGCGCGATGCAGTGCATGCTCAGCTCCATCATAGGGTACACCGGCAGCGACAAGCCGGGCGCTGTAATCAAGTCGCACCTGCTTTTCGGCAGGACACCGTTTTCGGAGAAGGCCAGGTGAAGGGCGGCACGCCATGCTGGCGTCTAGTGTGATTAGGTGTTAACGGAGTACTGACACCATTTTTTAAACTCATGTTTACTATGTCACACAAATCTATACCGACGTGGCTCTGAGAAAGTGTGATGCTAAGCAAATGCTTATAGGATGATAGTATGTTTCATTTCGATATGAAAGTTACTTTTCACGTGCCGCACCTACTGACGTTGATACAAGTTTGACTTCAGGCTAGAGTACTGATTATGGTGACTTCGCGCAACCGTATGGCTAGTTGTGGTGACGTGAAGTACTAACATTTCCAAAACGGCTGCCTGCACGCCACCTAAACTCTCAAGACAGCCGTTATCGCACCAATAACAGAGACACGGTGTCGAGTGGCCGTGGAAACGTCACGATGCAGTGCGAGAATACGCGATGAGGAGTTGGCGTTTTGACGTCAATGTATATATATATATATATATATATATATATATATATATATATATATATATATATATATATATATATATATATATATATATATATATATATATATATATATATATATGTTTCCTGGGCGCACTCGCCCTTGCCAAGACATGCAATAAGTTTTTAATGGCTTGTCTTCTCATTTGATGCTAAAAAACGATAACAGAAAATTTCCGTGTGAGTAATGCTTCGAGTTTTTGAAAGCGAAGCGTTTCTTAGCGAACTTCAGCGAATTTGAGCGTGTATGTCTATCTATCTATCTATCTATCTATCGATCTATCTATCTATCTATCTATCTATCTATTTATCTATCTATCTATCTATCTATCCGCTTACGACTTCTAGCTCTCCTGACCGTTTCAATAATAGCATCATACCAAAACTTGGTACGGCATAACGGGAATGTATGAAGAGTGTAAGAGACAAGTCAAAACATGAAAATCATGACATATATGTCATGAAAGTCATAATTTACATTTCATGGTCTTGCAGCTCTCGCGGTGGTTCCGCTCACATGACATGTTGCAAAACTGGTATGGGATGACATGACTGCATGGCCAACGCAAGCGACGGACCCTAACGTAGACATCGTTGCATGCATGCCATGGAAGTCATGAGTGATGATTACATGCCACGCTCATGGTGCGCTTGCGTCCCGTAATACCAAATTTGGTATTACGGGACGTGAATGCATGACTAAGGTATATATTACTGGTGCAAACATGATAGTCATGAGATGCGTACCACGTTAGAAAATGACTACATGCCACGCTCATGATGCGCTCGTGGTCGTTCCACTAGCTTTACATATACCAAATTTCGTATTACGGGACGTGAATAGATGACGAAGGTATGTGACTGGTGCAAACATGATAATCATGAGATGTGTGTCATGTAAGAACACGAGACTACTTGCGTCACTCAAGGCCCCAATACACTTCGACGGAACCAGGTGTGCGTGCGCGCCGGCGTTCGTTTCGTCGCGTCACGACGGCGATGCCACGCCGGGCGCCGATCTGCCTGCCTAATATTACTCGCAGGCGCGCGTCGTGCTGCGTTGCTTAGACGCATGTGCGTGTGAGTGCGGCGGGCGTCCCTTCTTCGCGAAGAGAGGCAGACGCAGTGCTGTCTGGGTAACGTCGTCGGCGCGAAATGCACTATGTCGCACTTCGCGCCGGTTGCCGCCTGGCCGCACCGACGAACGCTGGTCGCGCCTGGCGTCAGACATATTGCTCGCGTTGCTACGCAGCGTTGCCATGGCCAGCGTGCGCGCGCGTCAACGTTATACGTCGAAGTGTATAAGGGCATTCATGATGCGCTTGCGGCCGTTTCGCTGGCTCCACATATATCAAATTTAGTATCAGGGGACGTGAATAGATGAAGGTAAATGACACGTTCAAGCATGATAATCATGACAAGGAGGTCATGTACAGCCTAATTTACCTCCCCCGTGTAGTGATGCGCTCATTTTAAAGTGACTTATCAGCCTTTTCCATACGTGCTTCGCATATCATAGATTCCCACTGTACGTGGGATCTGCCAATTTTTTACGTTCCAAAACCACGATGTGGTTATCAAGGACGTCACTGTGGAGGGCTCTCGAAATATATTTGAGATAATCGCTGTCAAAGCTGGCACGTTTGGCATGCATGGAATGAGCCTGCTGCACGTGTAAACACTGCGCAGTGTGGAATTATTATTTTAAAATAAGAAGCGCCCCTAATATTACGTTTTTTATTGCTTTGAAGCCACAGGTATCTCTGTGTTTGTAATGTGGACAAAGCGAGAGTGCTGACTCAGCGCATGAGCTAGCTGTGTGCGCGCTTGTATTGACTAGTATGGTGGCTCGCAGCCATAGGGTGGCTCACCATGCTCCCTCACCCTGAAATTTCGGTCGCCCTGAAAAATGACTGTTTCGAAAAGCTGCCCCCCCCACCCCCCTAAATCTGCTTACGCCCCTCTGCCGCAGCGGCGCATTCGCTTACACTACGCCAGGAACAGGACCACAAACGTTTTGAGAGCGTTTGTAATGAACCGCGTTCTGGGAACACATAGCCCGAAAACTGTACTGCCTATTGTTTCTGCAGGTATGTTTACGTATTGCGAAATCCCTACGACTGTTGCGTGTCGTACTATCACCAGCGAGCCGGCCTGCCCAACTTACCCGCAATCAGCTTCGATGAATTCCTGGACGACTTCATCGAGGGTCAAGTGCCTTTCGGCGACTACTTCGATCACCTGGCCGCCTGGTTTCCGGAGAGGTCGAGGCCAAACGTCATCTGCGTACCGTATGAGCAACTGAAGGGGGACGTTCGTGCAGGGATTCTGCGCATAGCCGACTTCCTTGGCCGAGACATCGGACATGCTTTGCGTAACGATGACGGGGCACTCCAGGGAATTATTCAGGTGGGTCAGCGACAGACTTCGTGATAAAAGTGCTCCGTTGTGGCACAGATTCTGCATACCACACCGTAAGCGCTACTGACTAAGCAAATTTATTGGGAACAGTGAAAATCCTACATTTTTTTAGAAATATAAAAAAGAGACGGCAGTGAAACTTGAATATCTGGTTGACATCATGATTTGATGTGCGCGGAGCATAGAAAGAATTCTGTTTTATGCAACGGAATGACAACCTTATGAGCATAGTTCGAGCAGAGTACTACATAAAGAAAAGATTGTATAAGTTCACCGTTCATATATGGAGTCAAATAAGTTTTGACTTTAAAGCCTAAACAGCGCATCGTAAGGCAAAAGACGAGCGTAAGGTTGGGGGTGTTTTTGTGTGTGTGTGTGTGTGTGTGTGTGTGTGTGTGTGTGTGTGTGTGTGTGTGTGTGTGTGTGTGTGTGTGTGTGTGTGTGTGTGTGTGTGTGTGTGTGTGTGTGTGTGTGTGTGTGTGTGTGTGTGTGTGAATATGATTCTCGCAATTCGATTACAATATAGAGTACACGCAAGTTCAACCAAGTTGGTTTGTACTATTTTAAGCATAGGCATGATATTGTTTCATGTACATGGTGCGTCAGATTATCTTTATCCAGAATTTTAAAATATTCCGACACACACAATTGCGACGCGAACAAATGCATGTTCGAGGCCGTTGCCTGGAGTTATAGACTTTTGTGTTCAATATTATAACTTTTTAGATATGTTTAATTAACTAACTTTTGAAGGAACAAAGATGGATAAACCATTTCAAAAAGAAAGCTTCAGATTAGTTTGCAACACATTCGATTAAACAGTTTGAAACTTCATATCTGTTAATTATGTGTGTTTCTCCGTTAACTATGATTGCCCGCAAAATACAATAAAAATACCACGTGAAGAGCCCACTTCTGGTGTTTTTTCTGGTGTTCTGGCCCAATTCTGGTGTTTTTTAAAGCTAGGCTTACGAACGCTACACTTTTCTTGTACCAATTCATGACAGCGATAAGAAGTCGCAGCGGCTATTGTTTTTGTGGCTGACAGCAAAACGTGTTCATCGCAAAGCCACTACGATCGTTGCGGCTCTGTCGCGACAGCACACTCGAGCAAATACTGTGGTCGTTCTTACTCCGAAGGTTTGGAAGCACTTGAATTATCGTGCGCACTGGCGAGCGAGTGGGTGTGTCACGTGGCATTTTTTTTGTATTTTGCGGGCATTCGTAGTTACCAGAAACACAAATAATTAACAAATATAAAGTTCAAAACTTTCTGATCAGATGTTTTGCAAACGGATCTACAACTTTCTCATTGAAATTGTTTATCCATCTTTGTTACTTCCAAGTTAGTTAAAGATCAAATCAAATCAAATCGAAAATCTTTTATTTTCACCATTTCATACAAAGGTGAAAAACGGAGAACTGGAGAAAAAGCCGATAGTTCTTCGGCTTGACAAAGCTCCGGTCCCCCAGGTACCCGAGACAGTGGTAAAGTTTGTTTCAAAACAATAGAAGAAAGCATGTTACAGAGTATAAGGCATTAAAGCAATAATAACATTTCAACTGAATATAAAATAAACATTGCGATGTAGGAAGAGAAATGTATAAATTAAAAACAACTATACAGCAACTACAAAGTACAACCGAGAAACACTTTTTTTTATAACATAGAAAATTACTATAACAGCAGCATGCTATCAACAACCGGTGGTATTTTTTGATATCTAATTAAACAATATTTATGGATATAAATAATTATTATCTAATGGATATCTCATTAAACAATATTTTAGAACACAAAAATAGCTTGACTATCTTTTTTGTAGGCCTGTGTGCCAAGATTTGGGTGCACGTTAAAGAACCCCAGGTGATCGAAATTTCCGGAGACCTCAACTACGGCGTCTCTCATAATCATATATATGGTGCTTTTGGGATGTTAAACCCCACATATCAATTATCGAAAATAGCTTGACTAACTCCAGGCAACGGTCAGCAACTTGCATTTGGTGGCGTCGTGATTGCATGTGTCAGCATATTTCTAAAACCTTGGGAAAGATACCTGGGTCATCCTGTATATGTATCTCAAAAGTGCGCAGTATGTTCTATCGTAAACAGAGTGAATGTTTGATATAACATCACATCGAGAGATAAAGGTGGTCTTGCGAAATTGCAACTGTGCCTGATGGGCCTGTGGTATGAAATAGGGCCAACTCGAAACAGTGGTTCAGATATTATGTTTCCGCTAATACCCGTTGAAATCTTTTCTTTTTTTCATACTTGAAGGCCTAAGCGCAAGTGAGACAGATCTTAAAGTTGCGGCATGTGAAATATTTGCTGAGCGCGCAACTTGCACACTTCTCCAGCGTCCCTTGCACTTGTCCAGAACACTATATCTGCAATCATAATTTCTGTTCAATTTGTGTTGTATTAACGCAATTGCCTTAAAGAGCTTGTATTGCAGGAATTACGGCATTGGTGTTAGTGTCGTTGGTTTCGAGCGAAAATCCATCTTGTGCGTGACAGAAAAAATGAGAAAGATGGAAATAAACGAAATAATGAAAATTCCGCGACCGATTAAAGATTGAGCGGAGGGGCGTTTGCGTGGCAAGCAGATTTTCTACAACACATCCATGCATCTGCCTAGAAATGTAGTTAAAATACCTTACTCTGCTTGGAAACGCAGTGAAAAGAACGTTCATGCTTTGCAAACACACGTGTCCTGTATACAAGCTTCACAATACAACATCTAATGTCGCGGTAATAGGGAGATTTAAAATACCGTTTGCAAGCGCTGCGGGCGTTGCGGGCGTTGCGGGCGTTGCGGGCGCCATATGAGTTCTAGAATTGCGTTTGCCCTGCTGCGATCCGCAACGCACGATTGCAGCGACCCCTTAGCCTCCAAACCAGCGCTTGCGGGCCACATGCGGGCCACCATCATCGCATGCAATTTCGGATTTCGTGCGTGCGGTCCGCAAACGCCGACTCGCGTTACGACGCATGCGTAGTGGCAGCGACCGCACCGCAAAAGCTCGCGCTATTCTGCGCTATTCTGAAACTCCCTAATATCGCGTGATACAGGAGCCCTACGTTGCCATCGGGCGTCAAAGCATGGTATTGTTACAAAGACTACGTGGTTCTAAGGAGACCACCAATTGCAAAAGGCACGAACGTTACTGCATGTATTATTCACCTGAAGGCCATGTCGGGTGCATAGCAAGTTCGAAAAGATTTGACGCGCATAACTGCTCGTGTTTTGAAGCGTGCTACACATCAGAAACAATACAGCCACCTGGGAAGCTTGACTGACAGGAGGCACTTTTAATTTTATCGATTAGATTGTAGTAATCTACAATTTGAACTTAGTAGCAAGATAAACAACAAAAAAGTATGCATTAGGTAGCATTGGAAATATGCCCTAGGGACACCTTATTATCGCGTTCAACTCTTATAGGGCAAAGCTTAAGAGGGCCTCAATTTTTTGTCCGGCATTTTGCTACACACACTTTGTGACTCAGATCACAGTTTGTGGCTCAGAGCACAGGTTTGCGGTACTCTCTCCCTCTTTTTCTTCGTCTTTAATCCTGTAATTTCTACCAGGTAACTAGATTTCTCCTTGAGCAGTGCTCTACGTCTTTCAGTTTGGCCTACCTCTTTAGCTATGGTTAGGTTCGCCAGCGAGATTTAAAATGCAGCATTGGTCTAGTCTTGTTATTATCTCACTACCTTCTGATTTTCTTGGCAACGCAAGTACTCATTTTACCAATGTATTGGACATATGAGCGCTCTTTATAGCCCTTGAATAAATTCAAATGTGATTTTCCTTTCCGTCGCCACACATAGCTGTGAAGTGAATATAAAAACAAAAAACTAGACTGCGTTCTTTTTCGAACTACTGAGAGCTTTCTCATGCATATGTACACAGGTATGACTGCGCATATTAAGCATCATCTACTTTTTAGTCATCAGGGTTATAGTTCTTCCGGGCCCAAACTTTGCCACATGAAGCAAGTCTTCACTTTTCGTACGGGTTGCTGAAATCGTTTCAGATATAAATACGATAAAAACATGTAATGTATGTTTCCGCTAAATTGCACGTACGAATCATTGCTCACACATTTCTTCAGCGATCACCTACATGCGTCAATAATGAGGGCATGCTTCCGGCCACGATATCTGTGGAAAGGCCGAGCATTCACACATTTCTCGGAGGGAGGGCGGACGCCAATGCTACAATCGGCGTTCAGGTGTTTTCGAAGCTGAATAGCTCCAAAAGCTCAACAGCATGCCGTACTCTGTAACTTTTTTGGGACACATCAAAGCAGACGCCCAATTCACACATGGTAGGAGACTTCCTGCCATATAATTCGGGTCGCAGTGTGGGATACGAATTAAATGAACCTGATGTTCGCAATCTATCGCGTTGTCTTTTCCCCTCTACAGCCTCTACTCTCGAAATATTTCTGCCTCTGAAGTGATGTTGTACTACCTCGGCGCGAATTTTACCGAGCGATGATGTCGTGTGGTAAAGTAATTTTATTACGCAGTGCATTTCCGACCGCAGTATCATGTTTGGCATTCCCGATCGTTAATGTAACTTTACAATCACAAACAGTGGCGCTTTAGTGTGCACTTTAGCGTCCTTTAGTAACTGAGGCAGTCTCGCTCTTTACTATCCGCCTTCGCATAGACGGCTCACCTGCAGAACGTGTCCTGTTCTGCGTGCAACGAAATTCACCTTGATGACATGCTTCCAGATTTCGTACTTTGCCTTCCATTCCATTCCATACATAGTATTCTACATTCCACAATATTTAACACGAAGCTTACGGAGACTCTCGTAAAAACACTCATCGTGTATTCTTTTTTTGAACCTGTTTTACACGTAATGCGAATGTGAATGCTCCAGGTTAGCCAAGCTTTTCTCGTTGACCACCGGAGGAACAGTGGCTAAGGTGCTCGCCTGCTGACCCGAACATCACGGGCTCCTTTCCGGCCGATGGCGGTCGCATTTGAATGCCCGTGTACTTCAAGGCTCGCGTACTGTGCTCGTGTACTAAGCAATGTACTAGGGCACAGCGCACGGCTCGTGTATTTTCGAGGCCCGTGTACTCTGTTATGTCAGTGCACGCTGACGAACACATGATGGTCAAGATTTCCGGAGCCCTTCACTACGGTGTCTTTCGATCGCATCACAGCTTTGGTACGTTAAAACCCAAACATATTATTATTGGCTTTTCTCGTGAAGCCTCTACATTTACCAGTTCCAAAGTTACAGATAGGATACAGAAAAAAAAGAATATCAGATGGTGCATCGTTGTGCCACCTTTCTCTATTTTTTCCCACATTTCAGACAACGTCCCCGGACGAGATGCGACGGCATTTCTCCGAAGCACGAGCGGCACTGCTGACCGCCCCCAGTGACGAAAAGCAAGCGCAAGTAGCTGCGGCGTTCCGAGCCAGGGGTCATCGAGCACCACCGGCTGGTGCAGGTGACGGAGAAAAGGCCAACCTGTACAAACTCGTGCGCAAAGCGACCGTTGGCGACTGTAGGAACCACTTCTCGGATGCTCAAGCGCAGCGCATGAAAGCCAACATGGATTCTAAGATGGCCTCCAAAATGGCCGTCCATCGAGAGGCTGTGCTCGTTCTGTGGAAAAGTGTCAACCTGCCGTAGCTTGCGATGAATTCTTCTTGTGCCTAGCCCAAAAAAGCGCGCTTTCCGCTCTATCAATTACCTTTGTGTATTGCGACAATCATTTTTCACGTGTATTTCATTTTCACGAATGGTTTCATTTTTGTTCACTTCGACGTGACGCGTTTGCGTCCTCATAGTTGAAGTTGTGCATAAGGGTGCAGGACATTTTGCTACAGGATGTGAGGTCGTATATAGAGAAGGAAAATAACGAAGTATTGTGTAACGGGGCTATTTAATAAGATATTACATTTTGGCCGAATATAATTACCAGTTTTCATTGGAGGACTCATTAAGCTCAATAGGTGTATGTTGGCCCATATTTACAAGGTATGCTGTGTTTATTTTGTCAGCTCTACAAGCGCCTGGCTCTACCTAATGATAACTGAACAAAAACAAAAAATACGCCGTCTTGTGTGGTCTGTTCTCGAAAAAATAATTAGGACTCCTTGCACTAGGGCATGCTAGGCTGGAGTCAACAGCCGAAATTGTGATCCACCTATATTCTCCGGTTTTTTCTAGTCTTGAAGTGATGCTTTGTATTGGCCCTAATTAGCCTTATAATAATTCATTTTTACTACCCAAGTGTAACCACTTTACCTATGTTTTCTTGTACAAGGGTAAGAATATGGCACATTAAACGAAACAGCACCAAATGCCTTAACAAGGTCTTGTAGTAGAATAGCGACTCTCTCTAAAAAAAGAGTGGCCAATTTGGTGTTTTTGGCATCGTGAAATTGTACTTTACTAATACTTAACTTCACAGGGGCGTCTGCGCAAGCAGGAGTTTGGTGTGTGGCAACACCACGGGCACGAGCCAAGGGGGGGGGGGGGATGACTTCCTTCCACGTTTAGCCGTGCGTGGCTTAGCTGTGTCCGGGGAAAACGGGTTCCTAAAGGTTGAGCTGACGCTGGGTGCTTGGACCTTTAAGGCCTCCCGGCAGAGGCAACACACTTCTTTGGCCCCAGCTTCAAGTAGACGGCACCCCTGGGTTGACCCAACCAGGGAAAATTGGCAGTTGCCTTTTTCTATCCCCGTATCTCTCCATTTCTTTTCTATATCTTCTGTACCTGTCCTGTCTTCTTAAATCTTCTTCTTATTTCATGTACTGGCGGCGAGGTTTAACCCTTGGGGAAATGGCCTCTCTTGGTCAGGACCACAGGGTTATAGTAGCAATGTATGACTAACGTGTGTATACGTTCTCCTTTTTGCACTTCATGGTAGGTGGCCAGCATAGCCACCGAATGACCATCATTTTCTATGGAAAAAGGTATCCCCTTTCCATAATGATCGGTCCCGTAAAAGGGGTCGCACCGAAGCAACCGAAAAATGCTTGACTGAAGAGAACGACTACAAGAATTTTTTTCTTGTAACATCTTTGACAGAGACTAAGATTCAGGATATATCAGCATTTCCAATTGCAAAAGCAATCAAAGATTGTATTAGAAGCAACTACAGTGCAAAAAATAAATTGGAGAGATATCCTAATAGAAGTATAGAACAAAGTAACAAAATCAGACACCTAGTGAAAATCAGACAACATTAAGTTCATGTAGCAGCCCGCCGATCTCTCAACAACACGCGAGGAGTAATATCAGAGAATGAACTGCTCAACTGCACCGATGCAGAAATTGAAGAAGCTCTAGCAGATCAAGGTGTACTTGCAGCACGAGTCATCATTATTCGTGGAGACAACACGGAAACCCGCACAAAGAATGTTATACTAACCTTCTCAAGCACAACACTCGCCACCGCAGTTAAGGTAGCATACCTATGTCAGGCTCTACGTACCCGATCCTCGCAGGTGTTTTAGGTGCCAGAGGTTCGGGCACGGGCGTCATTCATGCTGTGGTAATCCAACTTGTGCGAAAGTGGCAAGAATGAACATGATGAAGGCGAGTGCCCCAACCCGTTAAGCTGTGTGAACTGCAAAGGGCCCCATGCAGCGTATTCATGCTCCTGCTCACAATGACAAAAAGAAAATGACATACACTGAAAACAAAAGAAAACATTTCGTATCAAGAAGCGTGCAAGCGAGTGGCGCTTGCCCAAAAGAGCACCTACGCTGAAGCGGTGCGAAGGGGGAAGGCACCGTCGACGGTCTCTGTAGGCACACAGGTCGAACTCCAGGACCTAGTGGCCGCAGTCCATCGCCCAGACAAGAGCGCCAGAAAGGCACCAAATGCGTTTCTTCAGGGAGGCCCTAAAGCCTAAACCAGTGTTGGTGCCACCCAACCTAACGTCGAGGCAAAACAGGCCTCAACGATGGTGCCGAGTAGCCCACCTTCTTTGAGGAGGCCAGTGATCTCACAGAGCATCAACATTGTTGAGCACCCTGGTGGTGCGCATTTCATGGACGTGAGTCCAACGAACACTAAAAGCCTGGGAGACCCTGCTTCTACCAGCAGGATGATTAGGCAACCAATCATCATACCTTGCAAAGTAGGGAAAAAAAAACAAAACAGAGTTTCGGCCCCACAAAAAAAGAAGTAACCGAGCACAACACAATCGTCGCTTTTTAGGTTACGCACAACTAACTCAAAGTATGAGATCTTATACAAATTGCCTCACGCAATGGCTTGCATTATTCATTGGAACTGCATAGGAATCATACGCAATTTGGGCGACGTTAAAGACATCCTAACGAGCTTCTCTCCTCTTGCACTGTGCTTGCAGGAAACGAATATAGGACCGAAAAATACCAAAGCATTAAAAGGTTTTACCGTTATACGTCGCGACCACTTGCAAGGACACCGGCTGTCGGGCGGGTTCACCATTATACACCAAAAGGCATAGCGGCGAGAGAAGTATACTACTATTGAAACAGCGGCTGTCACTATTTTATCGCGCAGAACTATTACTGTGTGTTCAATATATATATTCCACCTCGTACAGCTTTTACCGTAACAGATCTAGAATTGATTGTGGAGCAGCTACCTAGACCCTATGTGATAGCAGGAGATTTTAATGCGCACAATACACTATAGGGAAGTGTCAAGACGGACAGTAGAGCGGAGGTAGTTGAGGATTTTATTCTAACCAACAATTTATGTCTTTTAAACACTGGAGCCCTTACGTGCTCCTCACCAAGCACAAAAGCCATGAGCTGTTTTGATTTGACGCTTTGCTCAAGTTCAATATTTGGTGATTTGGATTTCATTGATTTGTGGGGTTAACGTCCCGAAACCACCATATGATTATGAGAGACGCCGTAGTGAAGGGCTCCAGAAATTTCGACCACCTGGGGTTCTTGAACGTGCACCCAAATCTGAGCACACGGGTCTACAACATTTTCGCCTCCATCGTAAATACAGCCGCCGCAGCCGGGATTCAATTCCGCAACACGCAGGTCAGCAGCCGAGTACCTTAGCCACTAGACCACCGCAGCGGGGCTTTGGTTATTTTGTATGGTAAATAATAAACAACCCTTATGACAGCGATCATCTACCTGCTGTTGTTAAACTGAGGTCACCCCTTCCGATAATACAATCCCGGCCACAACGTTGGAAGCTACACTAAGCTAACCGGCCTCTATTGACAAAGAAAGCCGCTCTACAGAACGAGTTTTTTGACCACATAACAATAGATGAAATGAATGACAGGTTCACTTCGTGCATACTGTCAGCTGCAGAGCAAGCTATTCCTCAGTTCACGGAACTAGGTGGAAGAGCTCAAACCATGGTAGACAAGCGAGTGTTCTATGGCAAAAAAAACTAACTACAAAACAAAGCGTCGTGCTATTTCCGCATATATTCTACGTGTGATAAAATCCTCGCTTTCAAGCAGCTGAAAGCAGAAGCAAGATATATACGCAGACAAACAGAAAGATTGTACCGGCCAAAATACATATCCACGATCAATACCTAAACCACGCCAAAAATAATGTTGGATGAGGTTAGAAAGTTCATAGGTGACTACTCCCCACACACAATACTTATACTTACAAGCCCCGGTAAACAAACATCTCTAGAAGAGCAAGCGAATATTCTAAGTGAAAATTTTCGCACCATGCCAGTTCAGCAAATTACACGCATTCTTTCCTAAAATGCAAACAGATAACTGAGAAACAGAAACTACCGATAAGTGGACGACTAGATGAGCCGCATAACACACATTCAACACTGCATGGGTTTAATGCTGTGCATTCAACGTGGAAAAATACAGCAGTTGGTCCGGACAGAATTCAATACACAATGCTCGCGCACCTATCGCAGGCTGCCATACAAGCGCTACTAAATTTTTTAATGCGATATGAAAAACTGACCTAATGCCCACCAAATGAAAAATGGCAACTATAGTCCCATTTCTATAACCTGGAAAACCACCAACGTCACCGGGTAGCTATGGATCTATTGCACTGACAAGCTGCATGGCAAAATCCTATGAGAGCATAATCAACATCAGACTGACATACACCCTGGAAAGAGAGAATTTACTAGATAATCATCAATGCGGGTATAAAAAGAGGAACTCAACCATCGATCATCGCCTAAGCACATCATACGTGAAGCACACTTATATAGAGAATAATGCCTTGCAGTCTTTTTTGACCTGGAGAAAGCCTATGACACCACGTGGCGGTTTGGTATGTTGAGAGACCTGGCAAAATTAGAAACCGCGGCAGAATGCTCAACTGCCTGTCTGATCTTTTATCAGACCAAAAATTTCAGGTGCGGCTAGGCTCTACACTATCACGTGTTTTCATCCAAGACAATGGTGTGCTCAGGGTTGCATATTGAGTACCACACTCTTCGTGGTCAAAATGAATTCAGTGAATAGAGTAATACCACCTTTTCATCATACATCCACTATATGTGGACGATCTTTAAATAGCATGTCGGGCCTCAAGTATATCAAAATGTGAAAGACAGCTCCAGCTCACCATCAAAAAAATAACCAAAGAGGATCACCGAAACGCCTTTTGCTTTTCGATTCGGAGAACCATCGCCGCCCTATTTTCACAAAAGCGTGGCATGCATCC